GGCGGCTCGGCGGCTCAGCGGCTCGGCAGCTCGTCGGCAGCGGCGTCTCGGCGGCTCGGCAGCACGGCGGCAGTGGCGGCTCGACGGCTCGGCAACTCGGCGGCAACGACGGCTCGGTGGCTCGACGGCTCGGCGGCTCGGCGGCGGCGGCGTCTCGGCGGCGCGGCTGCTCGGCGGGGCCGCGAAGGGATGGCGAAGGGGCCGCAAAGGGCGGCGGTGGGGTCGCACGGGTCGGGCGATGGGGGGTCGCGGGCGGCTGCGACTACAGGAGTCGCGCGCGGCTGCGACGGTAGGGTCGCGGGCGGCTGCGACAGCAGGGTCGCGGGCGGCGGCGACGGCAGGGTCGCGAGCGGCTGCGGCGACAGGGTCGCGGGCGGCTGCAGCGGTAGGGTCGCAGGCGGCCGCGGCGACGAGGTCGCGGGCGGCGCGAAGGGCGACGGGGTCGCGACGGGCGGCGTCGGGGTCGCGGGCGGCTGTAACGACGCCGCGCAGGGCGACGCGAGGGTGGGGCCGCGGGGTCGCGACGGTGGGGCGCCGGGGCCAGCAGAGGCGGCGCCGGGGCCGAAAGCGTGGCGCGACGGGGCCGCTAAGGGAAGCGAGGGGAGGGGAGCGCGACTCGGGCAGGGGCGGAGCGCGCTCCGGGCAGGAAAAAAAAATCTTACGGTGGGCCCTAGGAACAGTTCCCACGAGGGAACCTGCTCTATACCATGTGACAATTGGAACGAGAATGAATGCATTGAGCAGCATGAGGAGTACAAGTACCAAACCCTAGAATGTTGTACCCCATATGAGCTACCCCACTACAGCCTACACAGACTATAGTGTATAAGTTTGACATCGGGGGGGGGGGGGTCTTGGCGAGGAAATCGGGGGGGAGCGCGGCACGGTAGCGGAGGTCACTGGTACGGAGGTGGGTGATGAGGTCAGCGACAGTGGCAAAGGCGGACAGGTCGGGAAAGAGGTAGGGCAGTGAGAGACGGCCTATAGTAGCAGTGGCAGGGGAGGAGTAGCGCGCGACTACGGCGTCGTACAGTTCCTTGGCGGTCTTATGCTGGCCAAAATGCTCGCGCTCATCTAACGGCAGGTGGTTGCGAACGGCTAGGCGAGCGTGAGCGTCACGGGTCTGCCACTGCGAGCGCAAGGTGCTATCAGCATCGGCAGCAGGAGCGGGAGCGGCGCCGGACGTGTGGTCATAAAGAGAAATATCGTCCTTGGCGGTGATCTGAAGGTAGAGGTGAAGGTCATCGAGCCAAACATCGAACTTAATAGGACGACCCTCAGCGTCAAAGGTAAGCACAGTAGGACTGGCCATAGTAGCAGTAGCAGGAGGAGGAACAGTAGCAGCAGGAGCAGTAGCAGTAGGAGCAGTAGCAGGAACAGTAGATGCTGCAGGTGGGGCACAGCAGGGCGGCGCGGCTCGGTCAGGGCGGCGCGGCTCGGTCCAGGCGGCGCGGCTCAGTCAGGGCGGCGCGGCTCAGTGAGGGCGGCGCGGCTCGGTCTGGGTTGCGCGGCGCGCTTGGACAGGCAGGGCGACGAGACGGCGGGCCTGGGCGGCTGCGGCGGCTGTGCGCGGGCTGCAGTTGCGCGCGGGCGGCGGTCTACAGCAGCGACGCGGCGGCCTACGGGCGGCTAGCGGGCTGCTCGTGGGCGGCTGCGGCGGTGCGGGCGGCTGCTGGGTCGCGCGCGTCAGAGACAGGCCGCGCGCGGGCGGCTAGCGTGCGACGCGGCCAAACAGCGGGGCGCTCGAGGGCGCCCTAGGAGCGAGGCGCACGAGGGCGCAAGAACGAGAAGGTGCACGAGGGCACTACTCACGGAACGGTGGGCCCGTAGATTGATCGGTCCTAGGTTCCTAACCTAGGCTCGTAATACCATGTCAGAATGAGAGAAGTGTGTGCACTATGAGAAGATGGGAGTACAAATACAAAACCCTAGAATTGTGTACCCCCTAAAGGCTAACCCACTGTAGCCTACACAGCAACAACACAAGTATAATGTTTGACACTATAACGCAGCGCAGGCTGTGAAGACCGCGTCTAAGCCTTCGTACGTCAACCCTGGTTCGACTCCGTTGTTCAGATGAAGATAAGTCAACCTTGGACAGGCGGATCCTAGGCCAAGGAGGAACTCGTCATTGTCTGGGTCGAGAACGCACTTGTTGATCGTGAGAGAAGCCAGGTGTCTGAACCGGGAAAGGGATTCCAGAAGAGCAGCACTTGCTGTAAGGCTGAGAGAGCTGTTGGCGATGGATGTCTGTGCAAGGTAAGCGAGGCGATACCAACGTTTTCAAACAAGAACATGATTGAAGTAGCCGGGTGACTGCTTGTTCAGACAACGGAAGATGAGGCAAATGGGGTCGTCCGGTAATTGATTCAACGACACACGTCTACGGCGATGCGGGAGTGGGGCTAGGGACAGTAAATCTCCTTAGGCATCAGACATTGTTAGCACGTTGCTGCGAACTAAGGCCAACTAAGCGAAGGAAAATCTAGGTCCTTTGGTCAACTGGGGCGAAATGGAATCTGGAAGTGACTAGGGTAGTAGAGCGGTGGTGCAACGTCCATGAAATCTGTAACTGGATCTGGGAGGAGTTTGCCTTCTGAAACTGGATCTGGGGGCTTAGCGAAACCCGTATTGGGCTCGGAGCACAAACACTGAGTATGCTGGGTCTGTCTGGCTTACTGTCGCTGCGTTCCTTTTCGCCTTGTGTTATCGTTTCGTCCAGTGCGTTGCGAGTGAAATATTTCGACGAGGAAGTCCTAATTCTATCGCGAAATCCTCTGTCGGTCAATCGCAATCCAGAACTGGAAAACGGGTAACCCAGTGGATCGAACCTAAGGACGTGTCTCAAACGAGCAAGTCCACGCGGGTCCGACGCGGACCCGACGGACCAGCTCGAGAACCAGCGCGTGAGCCAGCAACGGACTGGACCAGGGTTCGGGCTTGAGTTCCCGTTATAGCGTTCGAATGGCACTAAAACGGTGCCTTCGATTTGGTCGCCGGACCAGTCCGCCCCTGGTCCGTAAACAGTTATCTCACGAACATCTCTTTGCGAGTCCTCTAACTCTCGTGCTTTTCGCACAAGATTATTCGGAAAGCTTCAAACAGGCACATGAAAAAAGGTAACTCAATTTCAGTACATATTTGTTTCGTCGTCACTACTGAAATTCGCAGCGACTGTAGCAACACATCAAGCAGACCAGTCCGCTTCTGGTCCACGGCTGGTCTGCCAGAAGGGTCCGTCGGACCAGACTTCGGACCAGGGAGCAAATTTAAGCTACGGACCAGGTCCGCGCGGACCAGTCACATTGAGACACCCTCTAAGGGCATGGAACTTCGATCACCGAATCAGTTCCATCATCCATCACTTTCAGCTACGGCTGTCAAGCTCACACCCTGGGCACTCCATGGCGCGAAGAGCGCCTACTCTGATTGATGTTAGGGCTTGTTACATTTTCTTTTTAGCCGTTTTGTCCAGACGATGGTCCGCAAACCGTCCAGAATAAGCGTACGGACGGTTTGGGCCTCCCGTCCGGACGGAGGTTAGTCCGGGTGGGAATCTGGAACATTTTTCCTTCTCGAAATCAGAAACAGTGTTTAACGTAACACTGGAAACTTGTTACTGAGGTGCTCTCAGGGGAAATACGCGTCGCGCGACTTCTGATTTGGGGAATGATTTTCGTTCAAAATCCTCGTAGGCCAATCAAATAACGGTTTGGTGGCTCTGTCCGGCAGACGGACGGGAGTCGTTCGGACGGTTGTGTACACCAAAAATTGTTAAATGTTTCATTGGTGGTACGTACAGCTGCGACGTCGCATAGTGATGCGCGAATCGTTTCGCGAGGCCCGACGAAGATAGTTACCATACAAATGGTCCGGACGGCCAACGGTACGGACCGTGGAAGTGAGAAAATGTAACACGCCCTTAAGATTAAAGCATCTCAAGGCATAGGTGGCTCAGATCAAGTGTCGCGAATCGTGATAACCCGCAGATGTGGCTACCACCAATGATGTGTACAGCAGGCCTCTTTCGCTTCCACATCATCTCTCTGCTACTATATATGATATAGGGTATACTCTATAGAGTATACTCGTAGTTGAGAGCATTAGAAGCCACGGTCTTCTTCGTGCACCATAACGGCGGAGCTAAAAAGCTATGGTCACAAAACTTCATTTCTCTTCATCACCTCGGAGGTCGCAAATCTCTCCTCTCTCGCTCTGATCGTTTCTCCGCTGTCACTCTCTCTCGACGTTTCTCCGCTCTCACTCTCTCTGACCGTTTCTCAAGCTCTCACTTCATGCTTTTGCGCTCTCACTCTCCCTTTCGCTTTGCACATTTTCGCGTGCAGGTGAAGGAGCTGCTCGTATCCCTTGGTTCCCTTCTTGAGAAATTTCAATTAGTGAATCTCTCTCACTTGTATGCTCAAGAGCTTTCGCGCCCTCACTCTCTCTTTTTCTCTTCCTGTGAAAAAGCTACGAGCATCCCTCGGTTAATTTTTTATAGCATTCTCGAAAGCGGCTCTCAAAGCATTCTTTCTCACTCCCTCTCTCTCCCTGTGCGCTCCTCCGTGCAGGTGAAGGAGCTGCGCGCATCGCTCGGTCCGCTCCCCACGCATTCACAGATATTCTGCTCTGATGCATGTCTGCGCAGATACCTGCGCGCACGCAACTGGCACGTGCAGCGCGCCGAGCGCATGCTGCGCGGCACGCTCAAGTGGCTCGACCAGTGCCGCCCGGAGGAGATTTGGTGGGTGCGTATAGTAGCACGAGCGTGAATACACTCTTATCCGCGTATCTACACTCGCACGCCTATGTATGCACAATCGTTCGTATGCAGGACGGCAGTCCCTGCCAGCCATTGAGTGAACTGGACCTAAACTAGAACTCTCCTTTTTTTTTTTTTTTTCCTGGACCGTCCCCTCCGTTATGCCCTTCCCCCACCTGGTCCACGAAATTGCATTCTGTGGGCATGCGCAGTACGCAACTGCGCTTCGTAGCGTTTCATGGGCCGTACGGTGACGCGATTGCAGGCTGACGTGGCGGACGAGGGCGCGACGGGCAAGGTGCACCAAACTGCGTTCCAGAACAAACACGGCCGCCCGGTCGTCGTGCTCTCTGCCGGCCAGCAGGTGAGGAGCTTGCGAGATGAGGCGAGCAGGTGAATACCTGGATAGAGAAGGGCACGGCATGCAGGACGGCACTTTCCGCCATCCATGGGTGAGCTGAATAGGGCCTTAACTAGCCAATAATGAACGAATTCAAGGCGATTCATTCAGACTTGCAGCCATTGCATTCACCTCACCTGCCATTGAATATGATCAGTCCTAACGCAGTCAAACAACCTCCCTACGTGCATTCCCTCTGTGCATTCCCTAAACAGCCACGCGGGGCAGGTGCGGCACCTGGTGCTACTGCCTAGTCAGTGCCATGATGCCGTTGCGAACCAATCCTTATGCACCACGCCACTGTCTTTTTTGCATTCCCTCTGGCGCAGAACACCAACAGCTGGTGCATTGCCCTGAGAACCTGTCATGCCGTTGCATACCAGTCCTTACACACCCACCACCATCTGTCACCCATTTCCCTTGCTCGCAGAACACCAGCAACCACGCGGGGCAGGTGCACCATCTAGTGCACTGCCTTGAAAATGCCGTCATGAACCTGCCTGCCACTGCCCACGAGCAGCACAAAGAGGACTAACTGGCAGGAGGAGCAACAGGAAGAGAAGGGGAAGCAACAGGAAGAGAAGGGGAAGCAACGGGAAGAGAAGGGGAAGCAACAGGAAGAGAAGGGGAAGCAACAGGAAGAGAAGGGGAAGCAACAGGAAGAGAAGGGGAAGCAACAGGAAGAGAAGGGGAATCAACAGGAAGAGAAGGGGAAGCAACAGGAAGAGAAGGGGAAGCAACAGGAAGAGAAGGGGAAGCAACAGGAAGAGAAGGCGAAGCAACAGGAAGAGAAGGGGAAGCAACAGAAGGAGCAGGAGCAGATGGTGTGGCTGAAAGACTTTCATGGGTGGTGGAGCATGCGCAAGGCCCCGCCGCTCAAGACGTCTCGCGAGGTGCTGAGCATTCTGCAGAGCCACTACCTGGAGAGGCTCGGCACTGCTGTCATCTACAACCCGCCTGCCGTCTTCGAGGCCTTCTGGAAGGTGCGTGCAGCTCGCTGGGGAAGGTGAGGTGGTGTGAGATGGTAGGATGGTGCATAAGGCTCCCTTGGAATGACTTTTGAGTCGACTCAAAGGCTGGCTTGGTGCCGCTGTCATGTACAACCCACCTTGTTATTTTGAAGCCTTTTGGAAGGTGAGGTGAGGTGATAAACAGACCAAGTCTCTGTTTTTTTTTTTTATCCTCTGGTTTTTGTTCCTCCTTTTTTTTTTCTCTTCTTCGTTTTCTTCAACACAGTTTTCTCTGTCCTCTTGGTTTCTGCTGTTCATTGCATTTGCAGCCAGCGTGGGCGGTTGCAGAGGCCAAGCATTGTTCAATTTTCTTACTCATACTCACAATCAGGAAACCCATTTTTCGCTTATCCATTCTGCTTTCTCACCCCAACAGATGATCCGACCCTTCATAGACCCGCTGACACTCAACAAGATCCTCTTTGTCAACCCATCACATTCAGTCAGAATAAACATACTACTACGGTATTCGGGCGCCTTAACAACCTCTCACTTGACCCGTCTGCCCCAGCAGGTGATTCGCCCCTTCATAGGACACTCAGCAGAGAAGACAGCAGAGTTCTGGAGGATAGTTGAGGGGGAGCGGTTGGGGCAGCAGCAGGAGATTGTGGGGGGTGACAGTTGGTACAGAGCTGACAGCACTCAGGGCAGCGAGGGAAGTTAACTATCTGCAAACAGTTGGATATGCTGCAGGTTCATAGCACATTTCTGAAGGGCGTCCAATCAACATAACTACATTATGGTTTCGATTACATCATTGCCGGGTACTGAGTGACAGCGAAGACATAATGAAAGCTTGGAGTGAGATACGGTACCGTAGATGTGACATCGAAGGGTGGAACCCAGCCAATGGTGACAATAATGATGCTGATAATGAGAGTGAAGACATCTAGGGCATGCCAACATTGACCATCCAGATACAAAGACAGGAATCACTAAGCACTTAAAATACGGTAAGCACACCCCCCCACAATCCAGCATTAAGCACTACATCTATCGTCCCCTTTCACTCACTCTCCCCTTCCAAACGATCCATTTCCTAGTTCCCTACCATCAACACGTCCACTCTCCAGATTTGGAATCTTGGATATTGTATCATACACAGCATGCGCAAGTTTCGGGCATGCAGTGACCACGAGAGTCTTGAGGCTGGTGAGACTGCTCATGGACTCAGGCACACTCATCAGTTTAGGGCACGAACTGATAGTCAGCAGCTGCAGCTGTGAAAGATTTCCCATCTCATCTGGAATCCCGTACAGGTCCAGAAGGCCAAACAGGACCAGTGTTTTCAGATTCGAGAGCTGGCAAATAGACTTCGTGAAGGCACTTTGATCCTCCTGGCACGTCACGCAGTTGGCTGGCCACCCAAACTCAAGAGTCGTAAGGCTGCTCCAATGCCGAAGGAGGGATGGGGACACTATCTCAACTTTGTTGCAGTTGAAGGAGAAAGTGCGAAGATTGGTGAGCTTGGAGAGGGTATCAGGAAGGCGGGTAAGGCTTTCAAGTTGGCCCAGCTCTAGATGCTCAAGCGAGGACAGGCGATCCACATTTTGTGGTAAGTCCGTGAGCCCTGAGCAAACCTTGAGGACCAAAATGCGGAGGTTAGAAAGATCGCAGAGAGAGTCAGGGAGCGAAACCAAGTCTGTACTATCTATGATAGTTAGCGTCTTGAGAGAACTTAAGCCCGACACTGCGCTTGGAAGAGATTCAAAATATGGACATTCCACGAGCTCAAGAACTTGAAGAGAAGCAAGCTCGAAAAAAGTACTCGGGAGTTCAGAGAAAAGCATTGCCTCTAGGTAAACCTCTCGAAGGTTCCGAAGCTGGCCGATGGTGTCAGGAAGAGCTGTGATGCCCACATAACGAATACTAAGTTTGACCAGTGACTTCAGCCCACCAAACGAGTCAGGGTAAAGATTGAACGCACTCGAACTTCTTAGTAGCTGCAGCTCAGTTAATCTGGTGAGCTGGGCGATTGATTCGGGGAGGTGGTCATTGTGCAGAACGTTGAGTGTCAGCTTAGTCAGGGATCTTAGCTTGTCAAATTCATCAGGTAAAAAGGCCAAATCGAAATTAAGGGTAACCTCCGTCAAGGATGAAAGGCCGAAGAAGGATGGTGGCAAATCACAACCGTCTTCGTAGATTGTCATCATGGTAAGTGAGAGGCAGCGCAACGCAATGCAGCCCGTGAAGAGCGCATCTAAGCCTTCATACGCCAACCCTGGTTCGTCTTCGTTGTTCAGGTCAAGATAAGCCAACCTTGGACAGGCGGATCCTAGGCCGTAGAGGAAATCCTCATTGTCTGGGTCGAGAATGCATTTGTTGATTGTGAGAGAAGTCAGCTGTTCGAACCGGGAAAGGGATTCCAAAAGAGCAGCATCTGCTGTAAGGCTGGGAGAACTGTTGGCGATTGACGTCTGTGCAAGGTAAGCGAGGCGATTCCAATTACAGACAAGAGCATGATTGAAGTAGTTGGGTGACTGCTTGTTCAGACACCGGAAGATCAGGCAAATGGGGTCGTCCGGCAGCTGATTCAACGACACTCCGGACACACGTCTATGGCGATGCGGGACTGGGGCTAGGGACGGTAAATCTTCTTCAGCACCGGACATTGTTAACACGTTGCTGCGAACTATGACCAACTAAGCGTAAGGAAACTCAGACCCTAAATGAGAAATTCAATTCTGCGCCTGGGGTTGTAGAATAGTGGCGCAATCGTCATAGAAGGCTGGAGCTAGGAGCTTATAAGGGCGTGTAAAATCGGCAAACCAAAAAATTCGGCCACAAGCCGACTGGCCGAATTGGCGAAAGTAACACATTGGCGAAATTAGCGAGAACCTTTGCGAAAGTCGCGAATTTCGTCAATATTTAGCGAATCAGATGGCCGTCTAGGTGGTCGACTCGGCATTCGACCTCGAGTCGACTCGAAATCAGCCACGTTCCCGCCCCGTCGTGGCGACATTGACAGCAGGTGTCGCACGATTCCGCATGCGACGCCAATCAGAAACCACGTTCTCGTCTACACCGCACGTTCACAACGTCTGAACGGGCTCGAATGCACAGCGCACCAATTTCAAGAGCGCTGCGTCTTTGCACAAGGGCTGCCTGTACCAGGCCCGTAGCTAAGGGCGCGTGTCTTTTGGTGTAGAGGTTCGAAAATAAGGTCGACCTTACGCTGGTAACCCTATTCGTTAATTTCGTACAGTCAACTTCGCACGCATCGTGTGTCCTCCCTGGTCAATGGGTGTGAAGTTGGAAAACAAACTTGGGTCGACCTCACGTTCAAACTTCGAAGAGCACGTAAGGACAACCGTGTTTCCACACAAGCATGAACCTCGAGAATGCGAAATCCGCGACGCTCGCAAATCACATCTCGCGCACAAGCGACTCCAATCAGAGGATGTCAGGGTCGCTACATTCCACGTCGGACATTCACGTGGCACGAAAGGCGCGAACCGCCCCCACGACCAAACAGCATCGGCGGCTCTAGCTCAAAAGGCGCGAACTACCTTGACATTTCACACATCTTCCAACTTCGCACGCGCCGCAAGCTCATCCTGGGCGTTCGTCATGTTGGCGAGAAAGTGTTGGACTGAACATTGGCCATGAGGGCTATTTGTAGCCCTCGTGGCAGCGTGTCGCACAAATCATACGTGTCGCGCTGTCAAGGCGTGAGAACCGGGTAACCTACGTTGGTTGAGCGCGGCTCGAATGTGAGTGTAGAAAGTCGACCCTCGATTGTCGAACTTTTGTGTGCCATGTGATGTTTGTGAAAGTTTGAAACGCGGCTCGAGCCCAAAAGTTGAGATACTCGAGTACAGGTCGACCTAGGTTCAAACCTAAAAAGTCGAAAACCAAAAACCAAAAGACACGCGCCCTAACAGACGGGTTGCGCGCGGAGTGAAAGTGGTGGCCATTGAGGGGCTGAATGAAATGCCACTGTGTCGTTACTTATAATAGTGGAGTCAATGCTGTGGCTCTTGGCTAAATGTGCTATGCCGACCCGTGTGTGAACGGAGCCGCGGAAGCAATGTTCAGGCTATGCTAGCTTGGAGTGCAAGGGCGTTCCATTATCGGGTGCACATGTGCGACTCCGTCGCACATTTCGGCCAGTTTGAAAGTTTACAACTTTCTGGAGTCGGCCAGCAATTCGGCCTGCAAAGTTGTAAAATTTGCAGACCTGCAAATACTGGCTGGTTATTGGTCGACTCTAATTCGGCCATCAGGTCGACATGTGCGAAAGAAGTGTCGACCATTTGGTCGAAAAAAACCCGGCCAAACCCCATTTTTAAAAATGCTCGCCGATTTTACACGCCCTAAGCCTGGCAAACCCTCACACTGGGGTTGCGCCTGGATCTGTCTTGGTTTCGCTGGATTTAATTTCAACACGTGTTACCGTTTCGTTCAGTGCGTTGCGAGTGAATGTATGTGGACAGACGAAGCCCAAGGCCTGGATCTCATCTGCCGGACATAGCTAGTCTTCTCTGCAATATCCATGTCTGGGGTACAGTAGCAGGACCCGCTGGGGCTCGTCAATGGGTCATCAGGCTTGACGACCCATTTCCGCTGGGATATTCCGCTGGGCACGTGCCTTGTTTTCCCTCCAAAGCCTTCGCGTGATTTCGCCTCGTCGTTTCGCTGTCGCCCGTATTGGGTTTCGTTCGTCGCGTTGCAAATGTTTTAAGACGCGTCACCTCTTTCTTCAGGAGGGCGATCGATCGTGCATACGATTGGTGTGTCGGGTGTATAGTGCTTTCACGAGTTGGCGAAGTACAATGTTTCCAGGCTTCGAGAAATTTCGAGATTGTACAGTAAACAGGTCACCATGAGGGTGTCACCTAGGGCTCACGGGATCGATGTGCCAAAACCTGGGCTGCGTTCTGCGGGCGCATTAGCCCGCATCAATGTACATTGCATATTTTTCCGATTTTCCAGGAGCCTTCTTCGATAACCAGACGCATAAGCGATAAGCGCTTGGCTGCCGAGGCAAACCAAGCCCGAATGCCTGCAGAACGGTCTTTTTGGCAACCACAAATTGACATGTCGCCGCTTTCTGAGAAATTCATTGTCCTAGCAATCTGACGCTTTTTCCTTGATGCGCGCATGATGCAACGCCGAGAAGACGCATGATGCGCGCATCAGCTCGATTTGGGCAATTGAACAGCGCATCATGCGCGTGGGGAAGGCGTCAGGTGCATGCTTAACTGCCTCGAAGAAGCTTCAGCACCGTGGAATTTCTCGGAAATTTGAGATCGAGATTTGACATGCCCGAAATTCGAAATCTCCAATGCCCGATTTCCCGAACCTCAATCTCCATTTTCCGAACCTCTATTTTTCAGTTTCGAATTCCTCATTCCCGAACCTCAATTTGTCAATATGCGGACCAGGCCGAGCCTAGGGCGCATCAGAGCTGATGCGCCCGCAGAACGCAGCCCTGGCGATTGATTGTGCAATTGTGGGGATCGGGAAATTTTGCCCTACGAATTCTATATCTTGTCACCTGTGGCTCAGTGGAGCCCCGCGATCGGAAATTTGCAGTTGGGCACACCGATGTGCACACCGATCGTGGCAGAATCGGTGTTCAGCATCGATCTTGCCACGATCCTGCCAGTTTAGAAAGAGGTGACGCGTCCTTATTTTGACAACCATGCCGAAGCCTCCCCA